TGAACGAATTTGACGGCCTAGTTATGATCAACTTTAAATTATGAATGAAAATAGTTAGGACTTTGTTCTTGTTCCAACAGTGCACTTCTCTGTGACTGCTCAACTTTCACATCAGGCCTTTCCCCATAAAAATGTGTTTCCGGTAATCTAACCAACTGCAATTTTTAGCCACATTAAAAATTGGGTATACAGTAGTATAACAAATTTCCCTCATGTACTCCTTTCTCTCAAAGGTTTTTTCTCACTTAAATGGATTTCACACATTAATACTATTTACAGGTGGGTTGTACATTCACTAACTGTATCATATCTATATTCATTATGCCATCATTCAGTTGGACAGTATGTACAGGCTACCTCATGAATCTCTAACCTAAGACCATCTCAACACTCTCGCTCACACTCTAGTTATCAGTACATCCTTGTATTGTTACCTGCCTCCTCCCTTTCACTTGGATACATAGTATAGTCCATTACTGTCATTCATCATATCCAAACATCAACTGCACTTTACAATTTGCTCTCACTTTTTTTCAACCATTATTTCTCTTATTCCTTGTCTTCTTATATTCACTCTTCTCATTCCCCATCCACACCTAACATACACTGTACTCAACTCTGTTGCTTTTACTCCTTGTCCTCCTAGTCTGTGCATCTTTTTAACTTCCATACATTAAAACAAGCTCAACTAGTCCTTCCCATTAACTCCTCTATAACTGAAAATTCAGTTTTACTTTTCATAACCTCCATAACCTTCACAATAAAAAATATATTATTTTTGCATTCAATTCCACAACCAGTGGCTACTCTAGTAATATCAATGAATGAATACTATTTATTGGTGGGTCAAGTATAACAAATTTGATATTATATACATATGTATCAAATTTTGAATGGTGATTGAGCTTTTGTGAGCATATAGTGTATCACTACCTCATGCCACAGTCTGTCCAGCTATCGAGTACACTACAGTACAGTACAGTACCAAAGAAAGGTTGCCCTGGAGTCTTTGTCAAACCTTCGGGAGTTATATCAAAATTGCTGAACCTAGAAGGAATGCTCTTGCAAATGATAGGGGAAATCAGAAAAGGTATTAAGCAACAGAAGAAACAATCAAAGAGAAAGGGAAGTGGAGAAAGACAAACAAGGAATATAAATAAGGACACACAAGAAAAATATAGTTGTAATACATGAGAAACTTAGTATATAATTATTAAATATATTATCTTACTGTCTCAATGTTCTGGTAACTTTCAAAAGATTATAAAAAAGGTTGCAAACCTCTTAAATGCAATCCCACCTGAGAATGAGACCAGTGGAATATGTCAACTAGGAGCCAGAAGCTACTGTACCTCTTGACAATATAAATTTGAGATTTAGCAACAAACAAATAGGATATTAAGCCACCAAAACAACCACCACTATAAGAAACATGAAGAACTGAAGTACATGACAACAAAACTAAAAGAAAAATTCACAGTAACTAAGGATAAAAAAAACTATGATAAGGCCAAAGAACCTTAAAAAGTGACCCACTACCACAATGCCTCCATGAAGACTTTGGGTCTAGTTTAAGTTGGTTTAAGGCAAGTTTATCATGGACTTGAGGGACACAGGGTATACACAAGCTCTGGTACCGAGACACCACTGATATCTGCAGGGAACAAAGGAGGAGTAGGTCTGGGTTATCTTGAGGATGCTTCTACATAGGTTAACTAGCCTTTCTGTAGGTCTTTTTAATGAGCAGATATGATTAATTCATATGATGAACTAGCAAGGAGAGACTCACCGGGTTGTAGAGTGAGGAATGAACAATGTCCCCTATAGAGTAAAAGGCACAAATTGGTGATGAGAACCATGGTAATCCAATTAGGGCAACTGATTGAAGAGGGACAGAAAGGTAGCACACTATAATATTGGCCCATTAAGGTATGCGACTTATTAGATGCTACATATTAATTGTTTTGGCATGAAACACGCTACTCCACACAAGAAACCTTAAGTATGCTGGCACAACACCAAGAGGGGCACCAAGATATTATATGTGACTAAGGTTTATAAACAGGATGTCCTGTAACAACCACTGCCAATCATTTTATCAATTTGTTTGTACCCCAAAATTTATGAGTACTGTACAGGATATACACCTAAACATATTTGACATGCAAAGGCCAAATGTTCTAGTGGTGTGGAGTAACACTAATTACATTAAGATAATGTCAGTCTTTTGTTATTTCCAAAAGATAAGTTGAAAAAGGCACCTTTGACCAGAATGCCATAGTATGTGAATCTACCTGTCAAGGTGGCAGTGGACTCGATTGTGCCAATTGAACCACAATGGAGTAAAAGATCAGTTTTATCAAGACTATGGTAGACCATGTAATTAAGCAGTCTAAGGAAGTCATGCTTCCAAATGACTGATCATTGCTGAGGCACAAGTGAAGTTCTCTAAAAGTTGAGTTGTCCTGAGAAAGCCCAACATTATGAATGGTCATCATTTGCATACAAAGCAAAAGAAAAGTCTGTAAGCAAAGAATCTCCAAAGCTGCAAATGGGTTTATACAAATGATTAGTGGAAAATAAATGTCTACAGGTCATGTAATAAAATATCCAGGAACTGGGATTGACTTTTTCAACAAACCCATTTCTAAAAGAAGGCACCATAGAAGAGTGTGGGGTTCTCTTCTTCAAATTACTGTTTTATGCATGTTAACTGACTCAAGAAGCATTATACTACTGATTTTGTTGGTACAAGTGGCATTATTAAAAGAATGTCCATTATAGTTGGATGTGCAGAGATGAGGACCTATCATTAAATGTTGTTAAATAAAATTCTAAAACAAAACCGAACTTACAAAATGACTTATTTGAGTATGCCAGTGTTTGATTAATTAGCCAAGTTACCAATGATAAAATTTCCATGAGAGCACACCAAAAATATGTCAACAAAGATAATTTGTGCTTTATCTGCGTGTTAATCTTCCACATTAGCTCTGGTGGAGCATCCTTACAGGGGACTGAAGAAATGAGGAAAACAGAATCATAAGCAACCTTGACTAAATCATACAGTAGTACACTAAACATCAGGCGGGCTTCACAATACAGCAGTGTACTTATAATCATGTTAAAATCCAGGACAGAAGATTAATAGAGGAAATTACCCTGTTTATGTATAGATTCCTTCATAGTAAAAAAAAATAAAGTAAAGAAAGTAAGAATTAGTAGAGCTGGGTAACATGCATTTATAAAGCTGCTAAAAACATGGGTTATGAACACCGAGCAGATGATTCAAAGTGAAAATGCATCTGTCTTGTGCCATACAAATTCATTCAAAAATCTCAAAAATACTTAATTGGTGAGAAAAATAAATTACCAGCACTGCACAAGCAATGAGAGGTCCTTATTTTGACACTTATTCTAGTTTCCTGTATATTATATAGGTATACCCTAGGTTACAGAAATTCCCCAAAAAAAATGAAAATTACGACCACTAAGCTCGGGATACGGCCTGTAAATTCGACCTTGTGGAAACGGTGTAAATTTTTAACAAGAGAATCGTGATATAGAAGAAAAAATAATAAAAAAATCAGAAATTACAATTTATTTGGTGTGGATGTCTTGGTGTTTGCTACCACCAAGTGTGGGTACGCTGGCATACCAACGCTGACTCGGTGTGTTATCTCCCAGTATGTACGCTTGATCTCTTGAATTTAATACTTACGTACATATTTTATTCAAGACTGTCCCAATGTATTACCCTCATTCAAGATGAGTGGAAAAAGGCCACCAAGTGCAAGTGAAAGCAATAGAGCTAAAAAAGAGAGCCAGTAAAGGAATTAATTTAGATATAAAACTCCTCACGCAACACACATTATTTTTGGCAAGTTAAATTCACGTGTTTTATGTACATCATTAATTGTTATTTATTCCTCACATTTACTGGTACAGTTGGGCAGTCACCCAGCTGGCTCACATCAGGGGAGGAAGGAAGAGAGGCAGACAACTCGTCAAAACAGTTACAGCTCACTACCTCCGCACAAACGTTCACTCGCCACACATACACACCCATGCTCTACATTTTTCTTATTTCATAGGTTTACAGAGATCCCTCGGTTAACGAGATTTCGGTTAACGAGTTACCTTCCATAAGATTCTTAACTTCGGTTAAGAAGCAATCCCTCGATTAAAGATTTTTTTTACGAGTCGACCTCAACATGTTTTCGCTTGCATTTGGCGGTCCACCAGCTGTAGTATTAGTCCGCCAATACAGTAATCAGTTCTAGGGCTTAAATTCCTTACTATTTTCGTAAATATCAAAAAGTTTATACTATTCAATAATTTTAAAAGTTTTATATTAAATTTTTTAGAAATTTTAACAATTACAGTATTGAAGTATTGGAAGCTAGTTTTTTGCCCGCCATACAGCCTGTCAACACACTATATAGGCGTCAGTTGCTGTGTCTTTTCAGTGGAGGTAACATCTTGCTTGAGACTCTCTTCAACTAAACGCTTTTTTCTGTATTTCCAAGCAAATTATTGGTCAATTTGAAATTTATTTTACATATTGACAATACCGTATATAATGCAGCGCAGTGTTGATTTAAAGACAATAATCTTGAATTACACCGAGAGCTAAAATTTTATGGGTGAAATGGCATCATGGGGTGACTTCTCTCCACCCCAATGCCTTCTCTTCTCCCTTCTCCTCCACCCCCATTCTAATTCCCATCATCATCATCATCATCATCCAGGAGCCTTCTACATACACACCTCAAAGTAAGTGTACTTTATTACCTTTTTTGTTGATTTTAGAAAATTTTCGGTGAGCTAGAACCAATTACCCAAAACCCCATTGAAACAATGGTTTCGGTTAACGAGCAACCTTCTAGAACGAATTGTGCTCGTTAACCGAGGGACCACTGTATATTATATTTTCTTTATTTCTTAGCCACAATAGGGTATTGTAATGATTTTATTTATCTTTTTCTCAATTGAGCACGAGATGGTGGGTGGGTGGGTTGATTCACTCAAGAGTGAGACCCAAGCGTCAGACACATATAAGTGGGATCACATACTATGGATGCACGTACTCTGAGACCCTACTGTATTTACTATCATGTTAAATCTCATAAAATGAATATGTTTTAAAAGGTTTATTTTCACTCATAAAAGTGCTTGTATTACTTCTTTTTACCCAAAAAATTTCCTTCGCAATGCATCTCTAATTATATAATGGAAGTCAATGGAAAAGTGGGGTTCACATTATGTTAAGAAAAGGCCCATTACAATACGGTAACTTGGTCGAGAAACTCACACAATGAGTTTTCAATTGGATCTGAAAAAAGTCTCCTTCCAGGTTCAAGAACAAAATGGAACCTAACTTCAAAATTTTGAGTTTCACTTGTAAACTGCAGGCCAAGAAGTTATCAAGATGGTGACCTGTTATGTAAAATCTAAAAGGAACTTAATTCAGTTGTATCTGCTTATGTTCGATACACACACCTTATACGTAGTTCGGCCATTCTCTCTCAAATGTTGAGGATATCAAATTCAGTTAGGCAGTGAAGCCGTATATAATTAGTTATGCTGTTATCAAACTAATGAAAGTACAGTAACTTTAAGTATATTTGAACAAGACATTTTTTGGCTAGACTGATGATAGTATGATACCCTGTATATTTGATATATTTAACAAACTTTCACAGATGAGTTTTGAAAATCTTTTTGTTCATTTGGTGTACATAATACCCATTCAGGATTCTCCAAGCAGATATGTATTTCAGAATCATGTCTCAGGGTTTTCTCTTGCATGGGAGATGCCAAAATGGAACCACTGTCCCTCACATAAAATTATTAAGGTCACTGTTAGATTACTACAGTCCATACTTCACTTTAACGACTAATTGGTACTACGAAAACGGTCATTAAAGTGAAAATCGTTAATATGGTGCAGTTTACAGTCTAAATGGGTCAATTGGTACCAGCCCTCAAACACTTTCGCCCCCTACAAACCCCCACAAAAAATTACAACAACTTATTCACTCACATTAATACTGCATGTACAGTTAACAATAACTAGCCTTTAGACACTCATTGAACTGCTTAATGAGACTGTTTGCTGTCATTCAATGCAGGGGAGTGGTGTTAGTGCCTCCCTGCCCCTACACTCCCACACTGCGTTGCTTTCCCAGCACCACCACCAACTGATCCTTCAGTCTCAAAGCCAGTGACCCTCCACAAACACCAGCTCCTCCTATGCTACTCATAGTCAACGCTTCACCACACCACAGGTAGAGAGGTTACGCAACGTGGTAACATAAGTGAGTAGGTTTACACCACACCTCCTGTTCACACGCTCTGATCAAAACAAACCACCCCGCTCGCTGACGTCATCAATATGGCCGCCCAGAGTGACTATCAACTTGTGCTACTGATTGTTATTGTATTGAAATGTATCGTTAATGTGAAACTCATTAAAGTGAAGTATATACTGTATTACCAAAGAGTCATCTACTGAGTCTAAGGTAGAGACAGGTAATAATGGGGAAGTAACTGGTTTAGGTGAAAGTTACTATCGTGCAACGAACCACAATGTAATGGTCAAGAATAATTTAATGGCCCTCACTACCAATAAAGAGATTTAAGAGGGGCTTGTGCATTGTATGCTTTTGTGCTGTATAATCATTTTAAGTGTCAAGTATGAATGTTCTTACCTTAACAATGATTCTATATATTCATAGGATTCTTTCTATGGTTGTTACTTGAGTAAATTTAGAGAAATGCTTTAATCACAAGGATTAACCAATTATTAAATGCTTAACTTATGTAACTTAAGAGTGTATTTTTTGGTTCAAAAGTACCCTGGTATTGATGGACTTAAGCTAATTAGTTGTAGGTTCATTTCAGGAAATACCACAAGCAGAACTAACATTCACTCTTCATATGGGAGGCACTGTGATGAAGGATGGAGTTGGAGGAAAGGGTTAAGTACTGTATCAATATTGTTATCCTTAAATCTAAAATTTCATATTATATTACTTTTTTTTATTGTGATTTGTGAACTCTTCTCAATAGCTGGACATCACTGTCACGGGTGAAATATGTATTTATAAAAAAAAAAAAAAATTGAGAGTAGCCGCTCAATCTGAGGCCCATCTAATTAATAGCAAGGCTGCACAATAAATTGAATATGCCCACAGACAAGTCCTTATGTAGAAATTTTTTTAACACCATTCATGCCTTTTTCCCTATTAGAGCAGGATGGTGAATGAAGTCTTACCTAAACTCTGGCTATAAACAATATGCATGCTTACAATTCTTTAACATCTAACTGCAATGCTCAAAAAAGAGAAAAAAAAATGCTCAAGAATTCTGCTTGTTGGGATGGCTATAACAAAAGTGAAGCACAAGACATTGGCTTACAAATATAAAGGTGTGAAAAGAATGACAGATATTTAACATGAAACAACCACAAGAAGAGGTAGAAGTACAGTAGTTAAGCATCTTAAACCTAATACTATTTCAACTTCTTTTAACTCAGCTGTGGTTATCTCACCTACACTAGGCACTGTTATCTCTTTTCACAGATTGACTACTTCATTACCAATACTACAAGCATGTCAACTGCTTTACTTATGTTTTAGCTGATAACAATGCACGCTTCTACATAAAATTTCTTCCATGCTCATAACCAACATCTGATAATATTTACCAACAATCCTTTAAAGACACGAGTTATCTTACAACTCTTGGTTCAGATAACAGCTCTGAAGATAAAGACAAGTAGATATATTCAACTGATGTACAAAAAACCTATTCATTATCTAGCAGTTATTAAATTGGTTATTTCCATTAAATATGTAATGGTGATACGCACAATACATAACGGTAAAATACAATACATGGTACTTTATCTTACAATTCAGTGTCTTTAAAGCCAAACGTCTAAAAATTTCACGTACTAACCTTATATTTGTCCTCTTTACCGGAAACACAAAAATATTTTTGTTTGGCCTTATGACTAGCTAAAGTAACCTTGGTTGGCACCAACCTAATATTATTTTACAGAGGGCTGAGTGAATGTAAAAATATGAATGATGTGACACAGTACAAAACTCAATTAACACCATATATATACTGCTGTGATATGCTTGATGATTGCAAATGAGTTTTCTTATTTGGTGAGTAACACTATTCAACACATAATATCGTACAAAACTACAGATCTTAGTGCCACAGATCGGCTGGAATATCAGAATCAGTAGAGTCTTCCTCTTCTGGTTGTTGTGAGAAATGCCGTCTGGCCTTGAGCTCCAAGTATTCATTCATTTCTTCTTCAGTGCGAGCCTTTCCAAACTCACTCACTAGGGGATATATGTGCTCTATGGCACTCTGTACATTGTTTACACTTGGAGCTGCAACACAAAAGCATTCATTAGCTGACCACATTTTACATATTATATAAATAATTATAGGCAAAACTTCCCTAAGATATAAAAAATGTGATATCATAATACAGTACACTGAAGTGAAATCTAAAGATCTATTTGTGTTCAATCTTCCTTATCACTTTGATGCTTCACTCTTTTGAATTTAACTACAGTATTTCTCAGATTAAATAAATACACTTTGGTCCCTCACTACATGGCCATGAAACATGAACAGGATGCATATGCAAATAAGTAGGGAATTAGTGGTCAGAAACAAGGATGTAGTTGGTGGGCAGTGTGTGAGAAATAACTGGATATTATATGTGGTTGTTAATAACAAAGAAATTAAGACTGCATGAAGAAAATACAGTATTATGATTGTCTGCTGAATGAGGAGCCAGTACGAAGATCATGCATCACGCCCAATGATTGAGATCAAGTAGGTGAAAATAGCAATGACAAACTGAAGAATGGAAAGGCTGCTGGTAGCTCTTGAATAATTGCAGAAATGTTGAAACAACAGGTGCTGCTGATGTAGCAATGGTGAACAAATTCACATATCAGTTACGATGGAATGGAATGTAGTATTGTTTCAGTTGACTGACTGAATACCTACAAAGTGACACACTTGAATATGGAAATTACAGGGACCTGAAGCATTTAGATCAAATTATGAAAGTAGTGGAAAACGTGATGAAAAATTGTAAGAGAAGAGGGCACAATAATAAAAAGCAGTTTGGGTTCATGTCAGGCAAGGAGATTACAGAGGCAATATTTATGACCGGGCAACTACAAGGAAAATATCTAGAAAGGAAAGAAAGACCTTCTTTGTATTTCTAGAGTTAGAGAAGGCATATGACAGGTTACCACCTGAGTTAGTAAAGAGGGTAATGAGAAAGCTAAGGTCTAAGGAATGTCTTGTATGAATGATTAAAGGCACTGTAGGAGTGCTGCAGTATTTCTGTGAGGGTAATTGACAATGAAAATGAGAAGTTTATGGTAAAAGTAGAGGTCCATCTACAGTCTGTCTTGAGCCCCCTTCTGTTCATCATGGTGTCAGAGGCACTATCACAAGAACTTAGGACTGTTCTGCTCTGTGAGTTGCTGCATGATGATGATTTAGTGTTGATAATAGAGCTGAAGAAATCTATGAAATGGAATTATGGAATAGAGTTCAAGGGCATGAGAGTAAAAAGAGATGAAAAAAAAAAGTTCATTAGTGTGTGGGTAAAGGGCCTGCAGTGGAAAGCAGAAAATGGCCATGTGCTGTCTGTAAGGCATTAAGTCAATATTGTGCGGTGATTGTGGAAGGTAGGTAAACAAGAAGTGTAGTGGTGTAACTAGCAGACTGCTGATTGTTGCCATCTTTAAGTGTGTTGTATGTGCAGGATATCATGTGGCCTTAGCAAAGGTTACCTGGGTGACATGATTAGTGCTGTAGGTGGTGCCAAAATTAGCTCAGTTGCAAGAGCCATGTGTGGCTGAAAGACATTTAGAAAGCTGCAGCCTTTATTGACAGGGAGAGGAACTTCTTGTTTATTGAAAGGAAAGTTGTATGCAACCAGTGTGAAAAATTTGTTGCTGTAAGGCAGTGAAACAGGTAGTTAGGTTTACAAGTGTAGATTTCAGCGAGTTGAAAGGACAATACTGTACTGTAGTGAGATGGATGTAAGATGTGGAGACAGAAAATAAGAAAACCCTGTTCAGAGCTAAGAGGGCAGCTGGGTATTGAATAGATGTAGGCTGAGATGGTTTGGGTGTATGGAGAGAATGTAGGAGATCAACTGGGTCAAGAAATACACAAGTCTAATTGAAGGGGGAGTTAGGGGTAGGTCAAGAATGACAAAGGGAAAGACTAAGAAATGATTTCAGATATAAGAACTTGACAAGAAAGGGTGCAAGTCAGTATAGCAGAGGGAGCTGCCATCAGGTAATCACATTTAAGCCATACAAGTGTGAAAAATGGCCATAAAACAGAAGGAGAATTAATCTTTCTATACAAAACTAAAGAGATTAAGGTATAAAAGACTGACCTGTCACAGTAATACTCCCAGTTGAAAATATTTTCAATGTTGCTTTTGGGTCATCAATCTTATACGTCACACCAGGATGCAACTCTGGTTCATAGCTGTTGGAAGGTGTTGGCTTAGAAGCAAAACTGACTTATTGTATCACTTACAATTTTATTTCCTTTTATTCTCTATGCAATATTCTGCCAAACATATTAAATAACTGGATATGCAATAAAGGTATCCCTTGAGATACAGATATGTGCATTAACAAAATCCAAAAGAATGGAATGAGTTTTGATATTTGGACTGCCTGTATATAGTATAAAGGATTTTATTCAGCTTGGTTTTAATTTTGCGATTAGCAGGATATATAGTATGATCTTCCCCCCCACACACACACACACAGGTTGACAACCCTTTATCCGAAATTCCAAAAACCGAAAAGCTCTGAAAAACTGAAAGTTTTTTGTGGAGCAATTTTTTTTTTTTTTTTTTTAACAGCCCACCCGGGCACAGGTCACTGACCAACATCGGGGCCTGGGGGGTGAAAATGTAATAGTAATAATAATTATAATAATAATAATAATGATAATACAGTAATAATAATAACTATTCATAGTAAATAAAAATTTTAATAAAAAATACACAAAAATAAAATAAGAATGATAACAATGATACCAGGTAATAATAACAATAATACTGTAATAATAAAATAATAATAATAATAATAAAGAAATACAAGAATGAAAAAAAGATCAAAAGTGAGAAACACGACCTAGACCTATGAATTATTATTATTATTATTATTATTATTATTATTATTATTATTATTATTATTATTAATATTATCATCATTATCATTATTATATTTTAGCCTCCAGGCCCCAATGTGGATCAGTGACCTGTGCCCGGGTGGGCTGATCCCTGAATAAAAAAAAAAAAAAAAAAAACCTAACCATTCTGAAAACCGAAATGCATCTGGTCGCAAAGATTTCGGAAAGGGATTGTCAACCTGTGTATATACAGGTTGTACCTCTCTAGTCCGGCAACCTCGGGACCTGACCGGTGCCAGACCATGGAAATTGCCAGACCATGGAAATTGCCGGACCATGGAAATTCACCCTTTTCCTGGATAGATAGTGACTTGTGCTTATGCCTGGAAGCACTTGCACCACTTTCTCTGCATCATGGTCTCTTTGAAGACATATTGAAGGGCTAAATGTCATATAGTAGCTTCTCAAATTTCGTGAGTTTTTAATTCTTAACGTATTTTATTGGAACACACAAAAAAATAAATAAATAAAAATTTTGACGGCGGAAACTAGAATTTCGACGGGTTTGAACGGCCCGCCAACGTGCAGACGACGTGCATAATCGTGTAAACAGCGTCATTTCTCTTATGTACAAAAGATTCATTATTGTTTATTACTGAATGTCTTTTTTATTGAATTAATGTTTATGTGTGCAAAATGAGCAATACAATTCATTAATAATACATAGAATATTAAAACACACGAGGAAATGACACAGCATTGTATTCGTTGATTACAAAACCAGTGACTGACTGGTTCTACATATAAAACTGAAGAAAATAAGACCTTGGTTGTAGCTGTAGTAAAATTAATATGGTTGTTTTAAGTAATGTTATTTAATGTTAATAAATGGAACAATAGAAGTAGCTAACGATAATGGTAAAGAAAAAAGAGAGATCGCATATGTAAGTGCGCATGCGCACACGTGAAAACATATCGTCATTACTTTACATAAGAATATGAAAGCAACACTTATTTACTGTTCATATATATTTTAATTAATGTTTCTGAATTTGTTTTTATTGAATTAATGTACGTGTGTGCAAAATTAACAATACAATTTATTAATAATACGTGGAATATTAGAGGAGACGAGACGGCTGCCGGCATTGTTTATGTTAAAGCTTATGAAACCAGTGACTGATTGGTTCTACATATAAAACTGAAGAAAATAAGACCCTGAGTTTAGCTGTAGTAAAATTAATGTAAAAAAATTAATATGGTTGCTTGAAGTACCTGCAATGTTATTTAATGTAAATAAATGGAAACACCGTGTGATTTTATCAAGATTTATCTTATCCACATTTTCATTGTGGATTTACATATATATATATATATATATATATATATATATATATATATATATATATATATATATATATATATATATATATATATATATATATATATATATATATATATATATATATATATATATATATATACATATATATATAACGCCCCTAGATATATGTTCTTGGAAACGTGACTTTAACTGAAATGGACGTTGTCCGATCATCACATAAACTTTGTATTTATACTTACGTGTAAGTGGAATACTATATAAGTACATATACACCTTTACTCTTAAATCACTAGTGTAATGTGATACAGGGGAATATTTTTAGCTCTTGTGCAAAATACATGACGTTTATATTAAAATTATTCACCGTTTTACAAGGATTCCAGTAACGCCGGGCAAATGGGGGGAGAGAGAGGGCGTGGGGGGAGGGGAGGTAGAACGTTTGACAGTTGGCACCGGCCCAAGGTCTAACGCGTGTACCTGTATATTTATCAGTTCTTAAGTGACTAAGCTTTTCTCTTATAAAAAGCCAGTGACATGACCTGGGTGAATATAATTAACATTGCTGGGATTCTTGTAACATACTGATTAATTTGAATATAAACATGCTACAATTTGCACTAAACAAAACAATTTTAGTACCGTAATCAAATTAGTACATGTGCACCCCAGCTTTGCACTAAGAAATCTATGTAAATCTACCCAAAAATACAGTTGAAAAACTTTTTTATAAAATGTACTACAGTACTGTACACTAATGTACAACAATTTTTATCTCTTGAGCAAAATATATGACGTTTATATTCAAATTAGTGGCTGTCTTGCAAGGATTCCAGCAATGCAAATTATAATCTCCTAACTTTAGTCTGAGATATTATATAAGATAAAAACTGTAAGCCTAAACGGCTGGGGGGGATTGAGAGGGAGGGAGGGAGGAAGGGAGGGACTGACGGAACCAGCCAGTCAGCGAGGGGGTGGGGGGGTTGAGCCGAAGGTCTCTGTGTATTTATTTAACAGTCCTACTAAGCTTCTCTGATTTTAAAATGCCAGTGATATGACCTAGGAGAATATAATTAACATAGCTGGGATTCTTGAAAGATACTGATTTATTTGAATATAAACATGTTGTAATTCGCGTGCGTGCGTGTGTGTGTGTGTGTGTGTGTATATATATATATATATTGATTGATTTCAGGTTACAGACAACTTTCTAGGCACACAATCCTTCTGTAATTTGAGGAATACCTGTATTATTTAGGAATTTATCCACAATTTTCTTGAGGCCTAAAGCAAACAGCCAGGCATGAACATTTTCTTGGTTATTTGATAAAGACAAGTTAAGAGAAAATATATCACAAGAACTATAACATCTTACCTGGCTCTGTTTCTGAATTTTTGAGAAAATGGAGTTATCTTGATAGCAAAGGGCATGGTACAGGTTCCTAAAACATTTACAATGCGAAAATTTTTGAATTTAACGCTGTATCCTAATTTTTGGATGACACGTGCAATACGCCTCGCTGCTAGCTTGGCCTGAATCTCTGAAGTGGACCCTGAAGAAGAAATAATAAAATTAAAACACACTTAATCTTTAGTATTACAAGTATATAGTATTTATATTTCCAAATTCACAAATTCCTTTTCAAACTACTTACTGTACCAATGTTGTAAGATCCCTCCAAAATACTTTAAATTAATTTATACAGTAATTCTTGGTATTGTCTAGAGTAGGGTAAGATGGAAGGCATGAATTTGTGTGGATTGGTCACCTTCATACTATAGTCAAATGGCTCATGGAATGACAATTAATGGATTGGAAATCTACTGGTTGAACAGGATTTAATGTATACGGGCAGTTAAAGTTTAGCAAGTGAACTCCTAGTCCTTGGAGGATTGATAGTAATAATTCCCTTTTCTTTCTAAATGGTTTTCTTAACAAGCAGCCACCACATGGAGGCCATCAAGAACTGATCATAAGAACATAAGAACATAAGAAAGTGGGATACTGCAGGAGGCCAACTGGCCCATACAGGGCAGATCCCTTTCACACCCATCCCAGCACTTCCATGTGCCTATCCAACTTCGTCTTGAAGCTCCCTAGCGTCCCCGATCCTACTATAGCACTCGGTAGCCTATTCCACATATCCACAACTCTATTACCAAACCAGTGCTTGGCTATATCCTTTCTGAATCGGAATTTATCTAATTTAAAGCCATTTGTTCTAGTTATTTCGTTATTACTGACCTTCAGAACATCTTCCATTTTACCCTTGTTAATCCCGCTTACCCACTTGAACACCTCTATCATATCTCCCCTAACTCTACGCCTCTCTAATGAATGCAAGCCTAAGCTTTTCAGTCTTTCTTCATATGGAAGGTTTCTAATAGTATGGATCATTTTTGTCATTCTTCTTTGTACTCTCTCCAAAGAATCTATGTCCATTCTATAATAAGGACACCAGAATTGAACCGCATAATCCATGTGTGGCCTCACTAATGCTAGGTAAAGTTTCAAGATAACGTCAGCAGTTCTGTTACTCACACTCCTAGATATGAACCCAAGAATCCTGTTTGCCTTGTTGCGAACGCTAATACATTGTTTTCTAGGTTTCAAGTCGTTGCTAACAAATACACCTAGATCTTTTTCACAATCTGAGTTTTCTATTTCCGTGTTACCTAGTTTATACTTAACGTTTGTATTCGTCTTCCCTATCTGTAGTACCTTGCATTTATCAGTATTAAAATCCATTTGCCAGTCTACTGACCACTCATGTAAGGTATCTAGATCTCTTTGAAGGTGTTCAAAGTCACTGTCTGAATTTATCACTCTCCCCATTTTGGTATCATCTGCAAATTTACTAATCCTACTAGTTATGCCTAAATCAAGATCATTAATGAATATAACAAACAGCAGAGGGCCTAATACAGATCCCTGGGAAACTCCGCTTTTGACCGCACCCCAGTCTGACTTAAATCCATTTATGCTGACTCTTTGTTTCCTACCAGTTAACCATGACCTAATCCATTTTAACAATGATCCACCTATTCCATGTGCTTCTACCTTCCTTATCAATCTCTCATGAGGGACTCGATCGAATGCTTTACTGAAATCTAAATAAATTATATCATATGACTTATCATTATCTACCGCTTCATATCATGAAATACTACAATAAGGTACAGGTGTCTCTTTTTTTAGCCATACCCAAGGCCAAGCAATTTAAGACACCCTTCCCTTGGGTTTGTGGATGGTCAACTGGAGAATGAAGCAAGAGTAGCAGAAACACTTGCATTGACATGATGTATGTATTGGCTAAGTAAACACAGGATTGTAAAGGCCAGCTGCTTCTTTCTGGGAGGTAGATACATGAGGAAGACCCAGGTAAGTCATGTGGGTCGATGACCTGTGCACGGGTGGGTTATTCCCCATAATAATAATAATAATAATAATAATAAAATCCTATTCTCCAAAATGGTTTGCACATTATTGGAGCTGCCTGACAAGAGGATATGCAGATAGGAAACAAATTTCCACAATAGAGTGTTTAAAGAAATGAGAACATAGTGATGAGGTATGGTACTATGAAAAAAATCCATAAAAGAACAAAAAGACAATAAGCAAATAAGTGTAACGTAAAGTACAGTACACGGTATCTGGAAACATGATGGATTTAGTGAATTTGTTAAAACTGTCAATGTTAGAATTTTTGCACTGATTATTCTTTTACCAGGACAGACAATACAGTTAGCCCTACCTGTACACGTTATCTTTCCTGACGACCATATTGATGCAGTTGTGGGCGGCCTCCGTATTTTCATAGTCACCATCTGCAGGATTTAAGTATTCAGCTATCAGTAGTTGTCACATGTATGAATGACAGCAAAAAATATTTGCTGCCAAAACACACAACCAAGCTATCACATGTATGTCTTACAGAAAAAGTTCTCATTAAATTGGGATGTCAAAAAAAAAAAAAAAAAATTGGTACTGTACTTATTTTGCCCACTGTGTTGAAAAAATAATTAGTTCAGAATTAAACAAACCATTACAGTTTAATATCATTCTTAATGACTGCTTGAAGCGAATTGGTATTAGTCACCGTCACAATGCCCCTTGGTATGACCAGCACACATTGGTTTCAATTGTCAACACTACCTGGTAAGGAAAAGTGAAACTGTTGTAAAGCTTCATAAAAGTAATTCTGGTTTAGTTTGCCTAAACAAATCCTAGTAATTTAATGAACAAAAATTATGATGCAAGTAAGGAGATAAATGTAGCTTTACTTAATACAGTAAAGGTAAACCAGAGCCTATGATTAAAGAAGTAAATTGTACTAAACGAGGAAAAAGATCTACAATACCGAGGGGGGGGGGCATAAAAGAATGCTATACTGAACTGTACATGCTCTACTCTTGACTGCCAAAGATATGAGTCAAAATATGAAAATCAGAAGCTGAACAAGAAGTACAGGATGACAGAATAAGGATATTAGAACATCTGTTAAGAGAAAGAAAAAGCATATTCTTTATTCATCGACTTACAGCAAACAAATAGTAAGAACCCGTGCAAAGTGGTATGAGGTACTAACGGTGCCGGATTAACCATAAGGGACCCCCAAATCCAAACGTTCTTGAAGTTGAAGCATATAAAACATGAACTTCGTTCAACGATGTCCTAGCAACGTCTTAATTTTATGTCTCTTACGAACATTGAATGTGTTACTTTGCAGAAGCTTAATATTGATGAAATCATTGATAAATTTGGGTATATTTTGTTCTTGTTATTTATATATACCTTGAGGGTACGGGGCCCCAAGTTGATCTGTGCCTCAGGCCACTATTAAGCTTAATCCAGCCCTGGGTACTAATATGCACAAGTCCCTTCAACCAACCAGCCACAGTGCGAGTCCGAATTACCTGAGGTTGAATTAGTGAAGCAGATAAAGGGAGGTCCATAAAGGCACTTCCTTCAACTGCTTCACTAATTCAACCTCAGGTGATTCAGACTCACACTGTGGCTGGTTGGTGGAAGGGACTCTTGTGTAGGATAGCATATTGACAGATGTTTATTGAAAGCTGTCAAAGAGTTCCAAAGAATGAAGTAGCATATGTGTGTGAGACCTAACAATGGTGTGACCCAACAGTGCGAAATAATTGGGGAATTGGTAATGAATGCATCATGTCAACTTTGGTTACTTAGAAGGCTCTTATGGATGAAGCATAAATTATCTGACCTATTCTAAGACTTAATACCCTCAAAAATAGTACAGATGGAACACAGTGCACATGTGAAAGACTGCTAGGACACGATAAAAAAAAATATATATATAAAAATATGAGTTGTTCATCAAGTTTATTAAAACCAGCGAGTTCGATCTAAAATTTTTTTAAGGTTATAAAGTTTTAAAATGGGTCAGAAAATCTATACACACCCCTGTACAGTATTCCGTATTAAGGCCCAGACCTCCCCACCACCTACAGTTTTTCTCAATAACACAAAATAATATAACCGAAGCTCAATTCGTCAGCCATGTACAAAAAACATCATCATCAACTTATTTCAAAGGTAGTAGGTAGTAGGCAGCTATCAAACAGGGAGGGACTACTGCCTGGGAAGATATTGGAAGTATAATGTATTGTCTAATGGTAGACCCTGCTGCCATATGGCATCACAAAAATTGTGACCAAGTCCCAAGTTGCTGATCTGACTTTCTGCCTCATTTACACACAATTGCAGGGTCCCAATTGTTTCTCTTACTACTGACAACACAACATGCATACGTATATCATTTCTCACTATTGATTGATCATATCTTCTTTTTTTATTTATATATGGTCCTTTATCATTACTGTTATCATCATTGTATTATACAGTACTGTATTATATTTTCATTTAATATTTTTTATATTATTTACAATTAACTTTTATTAATATTAATCCCCCCCCCCCAGGCCCTGATGTGGGACATTGTCCTGGGCCTTGGTGGGCTAAACCCCATCATCAAAAAAAAAACACCCATACATGGGGGATTACACAAGTTCGGTTACGATAGGAAAGGATACGCTATGCTAGGTTAGGAGAGAATAGGTTAGATTGGATTAAGTTGGTATAAGGGTGTTTAATCATCAGTAAAATTTAATTCATGAATGAAAAAATATCAAGAGTCATTATCTATTACAGTCAACCCTCACTTTACGCGGTCCCACATTCCGCGTTTCCATGTTTACACGGTGCCCTGCCAGAACCCAGGACGCTCACATTCCGCTGTGGGTGTACCCCTTTACGAGGGTGAAGTATAATTTTTTTATTTAGTTCATAAAATTCATACAAATTATCCGGCCAGAATATAATTTACATTGTTGGAATTCTTACAATTTGATGATCATTTTGAATATAAACATCATAGATTTTGCATTAGACATACAAATTTTAGATATACAGTATTTCCTGATCATCTTAAGACTTTGAGCAGCACATTCATCTTTTATTAATTGCTTCATGTACCTTTTCTTTCATTGGTTAGTCCTAAATACATAATAATCCAAGTACTGTACTGTATCTGCAGTGTTTAATAACCCGGGAAGGACAAGATAATGGGAATAAGTAGAGTAAATAATTACTCTTCAGCTGAGTATAGACAAATATGAATAAACTACTGAGGGTCTGTTTTGATATCATATGCTATACTTCTCCACTTTAAATACTGTACTTACCCCATTTTCACGTCGAAATTCCACATTATTTCCTGTTCTAGCGATGTTTCTTAGATCGAGGTGACAGGCGACAGAGAAAGAACTTACGACATTATTGATCATAATGTCTATCACTGGGTCAACATCCTCTGTAACCTCTTCTTCAACCTGACAATATCAAGTGAAACACACTAAATAAATATTACAGAAACAGGTGAATATAATTTCAATAAATATTGATGAAGGATTTTTTTTAATGACTGAGGAAGAAAACCTATGAGATACATCCATCCTGTTATTACTTTACCATCTTGTCATCTATTAAGGTTGGGAAGCAACTATAAACAGTGTTAAGTCTCCTTCACCATACAGTACAGTTGTTGGCTATTACCCCAGGAACCTCCAGGAAAGAGGAAGTTGTCAATAACTAAAAATAAATTAGTTGACATCCTCCTCCATGTCATGAATCAGGTGCTTTATATACCACACAAATCAATAATTACTTGTCCCAGGCAAGTGACCTTTGAAATTTTCTTGCCCAGATATCTTTTTTAGCCCTGAAAATTTTTGGAGGAAATTTGCTTGCCCATATTTTTTATGGGAAAAATTAAATAAACATCTTATAACATTCAAATTTATTGTATGTAATCAACTCACAGATCACTTGTGTCCATCTACATGGTGTCAGTGGTGATAACCCTTGACATGTGATGTCATAATTCCTGTCAACTAAACTCACACCATGCTGTTAGGAGGTGGAGGCAGCACCTGTGATCTAACTACCCCCCCCCCCCTGCTATAATGTGAGGTTATACCTCCTGTCACCTCATGTCTACAGTCTCTCAGCTTGGTGGTTCCTTAAGCATGCTGACAACTTGACTGACTGACTAGAGGCAGGTTGGTGGTTTAATGTAAATTACCTGCACCTGACATAGGTTACTAATCCTGGTACAATGATGACCTCCACAGTTAAACTTGTATGGTGAGGGGTCACAAAAGAATGTCTAGGTATTTACCTCTAAAAACATTAGCTTGTCCGCCAAATAAGTGCCAGGCACATGGACATGAAAAGTTACTCATTTGGCCTCTAGCCCAGGCACAATCGGGCTGCAGGGCACTGCTAATCTGCTCAACCTACTCCAAACCTTAATTTAACTCCATAAAAACTAAGGAAGTTAAGTGGCCTTAAAAAATCAAAGCAAGACATTTATAAAGCTTAGGAGGATAACAGTACTGTACACTGAATCTCCACCTAAGATCGAGCTCACAGGAAGTGAAGGGACTGGAAGTGGCTTCAGAAAAAATTTTAAGCAGCAAAGGGATGTAATTTCTACTAGATCAAGAAAGAGAACTGTTGCACTTGATCTATGCAATTTAGGGGCAATGGTTAGGATGGGTAGGGATGGGTGAATGGTTCTGTATACTGTACCCAAGAGATAACCATCCGTACAGCTTATTTCCACTGATGATGGGTGCCATTTAAGGGTAAAGGTCAGCTGTACAGATGGGGTTAGCCAGGTAATCCCAAAATATATAGCATACTGCATATTTTTAGTCAATATATAAGCCTAAAATTCCAAAGGTACACAAATTCATGAACTGTAATACTGTAAGTCTTACCTTAGACAATTCTTCTTTGATTGCTTGCGTGTGATCTAATGCCAGTACTTCTTTTATTCTAGAAGGAGCTAGATCTGTTTGCATTAAAGGTGGTACTTGATCTTTTCCCATCATAGGCATCGGGGCTAAGTTATTAATATGTTGCAGTTGGTGAGGAGTAGCAGCACTAGTCGCGGAGTCACCTGTTGCAGCCATTTCTGCTTTTGAGGAAAAATACAATTATAAAAATAAACTTTCACACTATTGTACTGTATTAAGAAATTACAGTTGCTTTACTGTACTCTATACTGTACAGCATGCCCTTGAAATCTGCATCTTTTTAATTCGAGGACCTAAATTATTCGCGGTTGACACTCTGGATGTACCCAAGAAAGTCATAACAAAGTACTGTACTGTAAGTGAGAACAGACCAAATGCCTGAATTGCTAGTAAGCTGATAAATGATGAAATTATTAATTAGAATAAAATACAAATTATATCCCAGAAACAATTTACAAGAGAAAACACACAATGCACTGTGTAACAATGAACTGGAAAATTTCAAATATTTTATTCTTATATCACAGTGACCAGCAAATCAGAATAAACGAAAGAAAATAACATGGAAACAACAATACTGTACAGTACTATACAGTATATTGAAAACATGTATGAATTAAATGTAATTCTTCTTTTCAGTACAAATACAAGTTGAAACATAAGACAATAGATGCATTTATAAATTTTTAAAACTAAAGAGTAAGATACAAAAATAAAAGAATCAGTTTGAGTTGCCTTGTGTAGCAGATTAAGTACAGGCTATACCTCACTAATAAGATGCAACTTATTGGAAAATTACTATTCACAATGTCCATAGGTTTTCTTACATGATTTTCCATTACTGAAGAATTTTCCTTGTATTCTTCTTCAGAAAAGGTTGTTGAACTTCCATTACAGATACCTTAGCAAAGACTTTGTGATAAGTTGAGATACTGGACAGGCCAAATTTGACAGTGTACTCCGTAAGAGGGCCTTTTCTCTCTTCAAACAGCTAAGTGCCCTTACTGTACCATGTGTGGTAAGGGTGGATAGATGAAGAAACATAAGAATATGAACTGAGGCTTACATAAAAATTAACAAAGAAATTCAAAGGGAATGCAGACAGGTCAAATAAGATAATCTAGAAAGCAAATGCAAGGAGATTGAAGAAGATGACAGGAGGCATAATTATATGGGAATGTACAGAAAGATCAAACAAATGAACAAAAAAATTGGGAATAAATGGGATGATATTAAAAGCAAAGATGATAAGGTCCTGTTTGAGGCAGAAGAAGTAAAAGGGAGATGAGCAATGATAAGCAATGATAAGGATGAAGTAGAATTAAGAATCAAAATGGAAATGAAGATCAAAATGACAATTCTGGAAACAAGTTGAAGCAGCTGTGAGAAAAAAAGAGAAAAAAAAAGAGACAAATCTTGTGGGGTTGATCAGCTTCCAGCAGAATTTACAAAAACAAATTGAAGAAAAAGGAACTAGAGAAACTATATTTGGCTTGAGATTTTTGTTTATCTGCTTTGTTGATTTTGAAAAAGCTTTTGACAAGGTAAAATAGTTATTAATGGAGATATTAGAATTGTAAAGTGGCAACATGAGGCTGCAGTGTAAGTAAATAATGAACTTCCTAACTGGTTCACAGTTAGACAGGGATTAAGACAGGGCTGTATATTCAGAATTCTTAATGAGATAAGTTATAAGTGACAATTGAGGACTAAAAGTTAATGGTAAAGTAATAATAAATATACGCTGAACAGATAAAACTGCTCTTATCACAGAGTGAAAAAGCATTGCAAAAACTTGTTAACAGATACATTAGTGGAAAAAGGCAAAAATGTGGTTTAAGAGTTAATGTTGTAAAGACTAAAGGCGGTGTCACACTAGCACTTCTTCAGTCAACCTTCCTGGTTTCTGTCGTTTTTTCATTGAATTGTAAATTTTTCTGGCCTGTCTCGCTCAGACGAAACGTATCATTTCCACCTGACTGGTTTGCGCCGATGGACGAATTGACGGTTATGGGTAAACACAAGAAATACACTCTGCCACGTTCGTCAAGTGATACGGTATACTGTATATAATTTGTAATAAAAGTTTAAAGTCCTGCTATAATAGTTGAGATAAGTATATTTCTCTAGTAACAGGGACACCATTTGCAATGACGTCACTACCTTCAAACTCACCGCTGCAGTCGGAGGTAGGAGAAAGGATGGCCTCTTCAGACCCCAAATGCCACATTCAGTTAAGTTTTAAGAGTGTTTTTTTTATGGTCCAAGTCATGGACATTTCGTAAGTGAAGAAATGTGCTGTGAAGAGCAGCTTCAAACATAGTTTGGATAGATATACAGTCAACCCTCGCTTTACGCGGTCCCGCTTTACGCGTTTCCACGTTTACGCGGTACCCTGCCGAACACGGAATGCTCACTTTCCGCGGTGTGTGTACCCTTTTACGCGGAGAGCGGCTCGAGCAGGGTGCGCACAAGGTCGCCCAGTCATAAAACATTACCGAGTTCTTCACCCGCCATCCACCACAGCCGGCCCAAGTCAGTGATAGTGATAATGATAGTGAGGATATGGACGGACTTATATGGACTTTGAGGGGTTTGACAAAGAGGCCCTGCAAGCCTCTGTGGTGGATAGTGATACAATTGATACAAGTGATACAGGCGAGGGCCAATAATCTGCCCTCTGCCTCGGAACCAACCCCCCATCCCCGTGTGCACAGCCATCTTTTCTACTAATGTAAGTGTTAAAAAACCTAATATTATTGATATTTCTCTTAATTATTAATTGTGTGTGCATACCATCATAAAATTAAGAAGTTATTTTTACTACAACATAGGTATTGTGTCTGAAAAAGTGGAGTTTGGGGGTCGGCCGGGTCTCTATTTCAATTAATCCCATATGTTATGTTGTTCACTTTACGCGGGCCGCCGTGGGTTCAATTGACCGCATAAAGTGAGGGTTCACTGTACGAGCGATTGGGGGTTGGGTGTAAATGGGACTGCCCAATATGGGCCAATACACAGGCTGCAATTTCCTCCATTCTTATGGACATAAAAAACTCATATGTTCACACCAGCTCAACTGTCATGTACTCTTACCTGGGAGACTTTCTCTTTTTTTTTCCAGTGCATTTACAGAGTATATCGGTACTTAATGGAGAGACGAGTAAATTAGAAGTAATGACATTGTCTGGACTTTAATTTGAGAATGCCTGATGCTAGGTAAACATGACAACATAGTGCTGTTATTGTTTTGATGATTCACTAATGAACCACTGGGATATATCATCATTTCCATTAATTAATGGGTAAAATTTTACTTTAACTACCATAAGTATTTGGATGTTTAGATTTGAGATAGGCTATATTGGGTAAGTTTTAAGTTTTGGTCATCCCTGTACTAAAACAAGCGGACTATGTTTTTTCTAATGGTTTGTGATGTGTTATGAACGATTTACACTTTCATTTCTATCGGAAATCACTAGTTTTGAGTTACTACCCCCCTTTACCAATGTATGTTAAGCTAACTTTATAACTCATCATAACCTAATCTAACATATGACCTGTATTTTCTTATACGATCAAAAAATTTTTTGTGACAGAAATCCTGTAAAGATAATGTGTCTTATTGTTTAAAGTACTTAATACCACAGTTAGGATCTTAAGGTTCCCCAGATGACCAAAACCAAAATAATACCAATATTGTTTAGAATGTTTATACTATGAAATTTGTTGTATGGGCAGCTAATATCCATTGAATTAGTTAAATTAGTTAATGTGCTTAGTAATATTTATATATTCAAAATAGTATTAGTGTTGCACAATTAATTATCTAATATTTATTTACAGAGCCAATCAGATGAGAAGGTTGGACAACTACAACTGTCTGCCTCGCTCTCTGCGGCTCGCCCCAGCCAATGACGTCACAACAATCACAGAGCTTTTTGCAGTCACGTGACTTTTTAGCAACTTTAACCCTTTTTTTTTTTTCACTTTTTGGCCCAATTTATTTAAAAATATCATTACCATTGTGAATTTAAGCATTTTTTTTACCTGTTCACCTGCCATCTTAAGAAAAAATTACGACCGTCAATGCATCCATTCTTGTGTTCAAGTCAAGATCTATACCGTGGTCCCTCGGTTAACGAACACAATTCATTCCAGAGGGTCGCTCATTAACCACAAGTTTTGTTAACCGAATACATTGTTTCAATGGGATATTGGGTAATTGGTTCCAGCTCACAGAAAAGTACATACAGAGTAAAAAAAAAAAAAATTGCAGTAAAGTACACTTACTTTGAGGCGTGTATGTAGAAGGTTCCTGGTTGATGATGATGATGATAGGAATTAGAAGTGGGGGTGGAGGAGAAGGGAGAAGAGAAGGAAGTGGGGATGGAGGAGAAATCACTTTTCAGGGGACCCATACTTGATGCCGTCATTTCACCAATAAAATTTTAAGTTCACTTGGTGTAATTCAAGATTATTTTATTTAAATCAACACTGCACTGTGCTATATATTATCAATATGTTAACTAAATTTCAGAATGACCAATAATTAAAATGTAAAAATGCAAAAATATTCAAGACACCAACAAAATAAATGTTCACTCCACTTGTCAACAAAGCCAAACTGACGCCTGGTGGCTGAGTCAAGCGGCTGATGGGCGCACAAAACACTAGTTCCTTGTACTACATATATTATCAATATGTTAACTAAATTTTAAAATTACTAATAAGTTTAATATAAAAAATGCAAAAATATTAAAGCGCACAACTTTCTTGATATTTACTCCACTGGAAACGAATGTAAACATAGAACTGATTACTGAATTGGCAGACTGGCCCATCAGCTGATGCTCACAACAAAACGTGTTGTTCGCAAGGTTTTCGTTAATCAAAGTTTTGTTCGTTAACCGAATTGAAGATCCTTATGGGAGGTAATTCGTTAACCGAAATTTTGTTAATCGAACCGTTCGTTAACCGAGGGACCACTGTACTCGACAATTAGGATATTTATATGAAATAAATATCAAACCACATAAAATAAAAATTTTTAACAGGTATTAGCCTGCACAAGCACAGGTCACTGACCCACATCAGGGCCTGGGGGGCGAAAATTTTATAATAATTGGGTAATTATAATAATAATAATATTAATTATAATAATAATAATAATAATAATAATAATAATAATAATAATAATAATAATAATAATAATACTATAATTAATAATAATTAATATAAATAGAAAAAATAAATATAAATAAAATAATAACCATAAATAAATACAAAAACGAAAATATAAATCAAGGGTGAAAAACGATATACAGTGAGTTTTGACAACGCGAATTGGCTCTAACGCGATTTATGAATAGAGGAACGATATTTGTATAAAGCGAACACTTGTTTGCTGTAACGCGATTTTTGCTTACTATTTCTCCAATTTTGTGGTATTAACTGTGAATATGGTAAAGAAGAATATCTCCAAGAAGCGTTCTGGTGATCGCATTCCCGGTGATGATCGTAAAAGAAAGGCTATAACCCTTGAAGAGAAGCTTGATGTTATCAACCTCAAAATCAGCCTTCTCCCCCATCAAGTTATATTCATATTATTTCAAGGTAAAGTGTTACATTTACTGTATGATTTCATTATTAGATATGAATGTAACATTTATTTAGACTGTGCTATCCTTTGTGTTAGGCTAACTACTAAATTTTTTTCGATTTTGAGTAGTAATCTGCACCTAACCCTATTTTCTCCATAAGCCCTGTTATTTCTATTACGCGAATTTCTATAACACGATGTTTTACAAGAACACAACTATCGCGTTATAGCAGAACTGACTGTACAGTACAGTATGTATGTTGTGTTGTTAGAGTAAGAGAAACAATTGTAAACCTGCAATTGTGTGTAAATGAGGCAAAAAGTCAGATCAGCAACCTGGGACTTGGTCAAAATTTTCGTGATGCCATGTGGCAGCAGGATCTACCATTAGACAACACATTATGCTTCCAATATCTTCCCAGGCGGTAGTACAGTACAGGCATTGCATTTTTAATAAATTGCTTAAGTGTAATTTTTTTTTATTGATGTTGATATTTGAAAATATATCAGATATATTTGTTTACATTGAGTAATATGTTCAACTTCTTCACCTCCCCTCTATCTATTCCTGTGTGGACATGCCTGTCTGAAGAATATATGATAGACAATAATAGATCTTATCACTGCCTGTGGGACCCAAGTGATGATAGATACAGTACAAAGTAAAAATTAATTAAATAATAATAAGAGGAAGGCATACAACACCATCTTCTTTGTTTACAATTGGTGAACACAAAGACTGGAGCACTAGTTCTCTATGTGTGTGTGACAGGGCACGCTGAGAAAATTTAATTTTGTTTAGAAAATGATGCAATAGAATTACAGCAATTAATAATCCAAAAGATTTAAAGAAAAGGGACATTAACTTCAATTTGAGAAAAAGGCTGCTGAAAGGCTTTATATGGTAAAGAATAATGTATGGTTCAGAAGCATGGGCACTCTCGGCAGACACCAGAAAGAGTTAGAGGCCTTTGAAATGTGGTGATATAAGTGAATGTTAAGAATAAGCCACACTGACAGAAAAACAAAAGAAGTACGTACAGTATTAAGATTAGCAAAAACTTCAAAAGAAATACTTTAATGTACAACAAAATAAAAATGAGATACTTTGGTCATATAATTAGGGATGAGGGGATAATAAGAAATATTAATAGGTATAGTTGAGGGTAGGCAGGCCAGAGAAAGGCAGAGATTGGGATGGATGAATAGAATTAAAAACTGGGTCCCCGGAGACACAAAACCTTAGAGGATTGATAAAAACAGCCTGAGAACGGTTAGAGACTTTGAAAACTGTGGTCGCCAACCCTCAGATATGAGGACAATACTCTTGATTGATTGACCCAGCATAGGGTTGATAAACTGTATCATTACATGCAGTAGGTCGATCACTCTCACATCAAATTTTCCAACAGAGGGAGAAATTTTTCAACAAAATCCTTTCAAAGGCAACACCACTGCTGGGCACATATCTACCCAAAAGACAAGAGATGATTGACTTTGCTAAATCACTTTATTCCTTGAAGATGTAAACATATATAGAGGAACATCAGAAAGTGGTCCACTGCAGAATAATTGCACTAACCTGTAACCACTCCATGAGTGAGAGCTACAACCAACACGTAATCACAAGTTACGTAAAAGGTTTTCCTCAATAAAAACCTCATAAACACTACAGTGAGTTTTTTCAGCTGAGAAAAATGCCCCGCCCCCTCCTCAAGA